TTCCTGCTTCCTGCACCGCAGCCGTGCCCGCCCGGGGAGGGGGGGGACGGTGGAGTTGTTCTGCCGTTTAAAGCAGACCGCCTTGCCCTCCCGAGCACGGAGGAGACCAGCTCCCAGTGAAGAGGAGCTGGTCTCCTCTTCAATAAAAGAAGCTGGTCTCCTCCAAATAAACCCCTTTTATTACCGAGGGCCGGGTAATAAAAGGGGTTTCGGATCAACGCTGGTCTGACGCGGGAGCGGGGAGGACCTGCGGTTCCCCTCTGGGGGATGGGGACAGCCTTGCAGAAAGGGGTTCGGAGCGAGAAGAGAGGAACGGGGGTGACACCCGCCTCCCTGCAGACTGGCTGCCCCGTCCTGCCTGGGGCGGTCACCCTTCCCATGGGCAGCCTCGGTGCTGGCCGCTCCCCCTTCCCCAGGAAAACACGGGCAGGCAGAGAGGTGGACGGGGCAGAGGGGGGGGGAGTGTTTAATGCGCCCTTGCAGTCGCTCGCTGCTCCTGCCTGCGCCCCGGCCGCTCGGTCTCTGCCTCACCCCCTCTGCATCGCGGCCGGCAGAGCCCCGTGTGTCCCAGCCCCGCCGGGGCAGGCTGCCAGTGTCCCCAGCTCTAGCACGAGCATCTCTGCCGCTTCTCTTCCTTCTCCGGCACCTGAGCCTTGAGCAGCACCGGCAGCGGGACGCTGCTCTTCACCCCATCCCACGCCTCGGTGGGAGCCAGCCGCCCCGTTTGCAGCGCCTGGTAGATGGTCAGCGTCAGCATCTGGAAAGCCTGGACCACGTTGCTGGCGTCCTTGGCCGAGGTCTCGATGTACTGCACCCCCAGCGAGGCTGCCAGCTTCTCTGCCTCCTTCCTGCCCACCCGCCGCTGCCCTGCCAGGTCGCTCTTGTGCCCCACCAGCAAGAAGACGATGCGGAACGGCTGGACCGTGTCCGTCACCTCCCGGTGCCACTGCCGGACGCTCTCGAAGGACGTGCGGTTGGTGAGGTCGAAGAGCAGCATCCCCCCGGCCGAGTTGCGGTAGTAGGAGCGAGTCACGGACCTGGGGCGCCAAGAGAAACCGGGTGAGCGGCCCCCGGGGCTCCCCTGTGCTGCCCTGGGCTGCATCTCCCCTGCCTGCAGAGCAGCCCCAGCCGTGTCCTCCCCTGGCGCACTGCTCCCGAGCCGCCGTATGAGGGAGGAGAATCGGCCCTTTTGCTGCATCAGCAAGCGGTCCAGGCAGCTCTGTCCCTGCTCGGCCACCAAAGCTCGTCCGTCCCCTGCAGCCACAGCCCCCGAGCGTTCCCGTCCCCTGCAGCCACGTCCCTGGTGCTCTCCCATCCCCTGCAGCCATGGTCCCGGAGCTCTCCCATCCCTTATAGCCATGTCCCTCGAGCTCGCCCATCCCCTGCAGCCACAGGCCTGCCATTCTCCCGTCCCCTGCAGCCACGTCCCCCGAGCTCCCCTGTCCCCAGCAGCCAGCCCGGCCGGCGGTGGGCAGCCCCGGTGTGAAGGCTCCTGGCAGCTGAGCTGAGGAAGCCGCTTTGCCCAGCTCCCAGTGGGCTCCCAGCCTCTTCCCCCAGCCCTCTGCAGCTGGTGGGGCAGAGGGGTGCTTGGGGGGGGAATCCCGTACCCCCTTTGGAGCTGGAGCAAGGGCTTACAGGGCAACCCCAAGGGCTCCTTTCCCTGGGGACACCCTCGGCTTTGGCTCATCTGAGCCCCTGCAGCCTGCCCGGTGCTGGGCATCGTGGTTCCTCACCCATGGGGCTCCCCCCAGCAAAGGGACCGGTGGGAACACAGCCCTGTCTAGGACCTCCCCCGGGGTTGGGATCACAACATCCCACCAGCACCCCAAATCCATGGGGACACCCAGCTCTGTCACCCCCCTTCCCCCACCCCATGGCCGGAGCCGGACCCACCTGAACCGCTCCTGCCCGGCCGTATCCCAGAACTGCAGCTTCACCCGCAGCCCCGGCTCCAGCTCCACGAACTGGACGTAGAAGTCCACCCCCACCGTCTGGTTGACGGCGTCCAGGAAGACGCCCTCGGTGTAGCGCCGCAGCAGCGAGGACTTCCCCACCGTCGAGTCCCCCAGCATGTATCCCAGAACTGCAGCTTCACCCGCAGCCCCGGCTCCAGCTCCACGAACTGGACGTAGAAGTCCACCCCCACCGCCTGGGTGACGGCGTCCAGGAAGACGCCCTCGGTGTAGCGCCGCAGCAGCGAGGACTTCCCCACCGTCGAGTCCCCCAGCATGATCACCCGGAACTGGTACGGCCACCGCGGCGCCA